CAGGACCTTGTTGCTCAGGCATTTGGGCATGGCTCCGCTGCGTGATTCTTCCGCTCCATTTCAAATTGACTGAGGACACTCAATGGTTTTCAGCTGGTGGGTGGGCTTGTCAGGAGGGTCAGGATGGCTTTCCTCACATGACTGCCACGGGCTAGAAGGTGGGGCTCAGCTGGGCTTGTTGACTGGTTGTCTACACATGACCTCTCTAGTAGGGTGGCTTTAGGGTAGCAGAACTTCTTACATATTGATTAAGGGTTTCCAGAGAGAGTGTTCCAGGAGATAGAAAGTGAAAGCTACCAGTTTCATAAGGCCTAGATTTGGAATCTGGGCTGGCTTCACTTTTGCTATGGCTTTACTGGCCAGTCACAGAGGCCACCCAGATTCAAGGCCATGCGATATGGACCCTATTTCTCTGTGGGAAGAGACTCAAAAATTTTTAGTGTGAAAGAAAAATAATGTATAGTTTTTCATCTGGAATTGCTTACTAGTGCTTATAAGGCTGACTGACTCAATGAACTAACTCAGGTTTAATAATTAGACATTCGAGCTTCTGGTTCCATATCTCCCTTTGCTTGGCTGTGCTTGAACTGCTTGAACTGAGGTAAATAATCTTTAGGCTTTAGTTTATATCACAGGGAAAATGGAGATGATAATAACTGTTGGCACCTACTGGTTCAGGGAGATGTTGTGCCTCTTTTTATTTTTATTTTTTTAAATCAGTATTCAAAAAGTATCCTCCAAAGTGCTCTAGGAAGTAGAATAATAAATTGCCATGACAAATTGGACTGTTACAAATTCACCACGTGTGTTTTTATTAAGAGAGAAAATTGGGTCTCAATATTGTGTAACATCAACAGGGATACATAGGAACTCTAGTCCTCACAGAAATCTCACTCTCCAAACACACCAACCTGTGCCATAGCCTATGCTTTCTCAGTCTTTCATGTATGCCAGGCAACGTATGTTTTCTCACTGAATCTTTGCCACACTTTTTGGAGAGTTAGGTGCCATTATTAACATGTTAATCATGTTTTCTGAAACATTTTTTTTTCCTGGAGTTTAAATTCTAACACATCTTTCGCATATTTATATATAATACATCTTAAAAGAATCTAATGAAACCTTTAGTAGAGTCCGTAGGGGTTTTGTTTAACTTCTGTGGAAATCATCCCTTTTTATTTTTATACAAATATTCTTGCAAAATGAGATAAAAGCAGATTTGTGAAGATATCAAGATGACATAACTAAGATGAGATACAAAATAAAAGCAGAGGCATTAGCAGAAGCTAGTTTTACTCATGGAAGCCAGAAGGAGGATGGGGTGGTTGGTACTGTGGGAGGAGAGATGGGCTGGGAGCCAGGGCATCTGGCCCTGTTGTGCCATTAGCTAGCAGCTAGTTGTGCAACCTCAGAAAGCTTATTTCCTCCTCTAGGCCAAAGTTTTCTTTTGTGTCATATGAGAGTATTAAACTAGATTAACTCTAAAGCCATCACAACTTTAACATTCTCTTATTATTCCAAGTAAAGGGGATGAAACACTAAATCAACATTTCCAGGCATTAAGAAGGTGATTTGCAAAAACATTTTATTTATTCTTTCAACAAGTCTTTGTTGAGCCTCCTATGTGCCAGGCCTTATTCTAGGTATTTAGGGGTACAGTAGTTAATAAAAACTTCCTTCCCTCATGGAGCTTACATTCCAGGTTAGGGGATACAGACAGTAAATAATCTAAGTAAGTCGAACATATGATACGTTAGACAATCATTAAGTGCTTAGCGGAAGATAAAGTGGGGAAGGTGGGTAGAGCATGCTGGGTGGGGTTTGCAACATCAGGTAGGCTTCTCTGGGAAGACTTCACTGAGTAAAGATCTGAAGGAAGTAATGAGCCATAATGACTTTGCTTCCTAGTTCATGGAGAGAATGAAAGCATTTTCAGGGAGAGGAAATAGTCAATGTAAAGGTGCTGACATCGACGCATGTCTGATATTCTCAAAAAATAACAAGGAAGCCAGTATAGCTGGAGTGGATGGAATAAATGAGGAGCGGGGTACCAGGAGGCATCAGAGAAAAGATTCTGGGAAGATGTCGAGCAGAGAGTGCCATTTGGCATGCTTTAATGAAATAACTTTATTACTATGTAGAGAATAGACTAGAAAAGGTCAAGGATGGAAAGAGGAGAACAGTTAGGAGGCTACTGCACTAATCCAGGCAAAAGATGATGGTGGCTCAGACTGTAACGGCAGCAGTAGAAGCAGTGAAAAGTGATGGGATTCTGGATATATTTTGAATGTAAAACCAATAGGATTTGTTGGATGGTTAGAATGGGGTATGAAAAAAGAAGATTAAAGGATATTGCAAGGAGTTTTGACTTGAACTTAGAGTTGCTACTTGCTGAGATGGGGAAGACTGTGGGAGATGCAGTTTTCGTGACTCTGCTGTAGGCTATTAGGAGTTTAGTTTAGACATGTCAACTATTAGATGCCTGTTAGGTATCCAATCCATGCATGTATCATGTCTTATAAAGACGTGAGTGTGGGTTTCAAGGGGGAGAGCCAGGCTGGAAGTACAAATTTATTATAGCTCTGAGATTGGATGAGCTTCCCAATGGAGTAAGCATAGATTAAAAAAAAAAAAAGACAGGTTCAAGGACTGAGCCTGGGGGGTCAAACTGCAGAGATGAGAAGAAGCATCGAGGGAAACAAAAATGAGTGACTAGACAAGTAGTAATAAAACTGAACAAGCAGAGAGTCTGGAAGCCCAGTGGAGGCAAAAAAAAGTGTTTCAGAGAGGAGAAAGTGATCATGTCCAATGCTACTGATTGGTTGCATAAGATGAGGACTGAGAAATGACCACTGGCTTGGCAAAGTAGGGGTTTTGGTGCCTTTATCAGAGCAGTGACTGCAGAGAGGTACAGGTGAAAGCCTGATTAGAATGAGGTCCAGAAAGAACAAGAGGAAAGAAATTGGAGACATGGGGTATGGACACTCTTTCAAAGAGTGTTGCTGTTAAGGAAATGTGAGAAAGGAGAATTGCTAGTGGGAATTGGAGTAAAGAGAGTCTTTTAAAAAATATGAGAAAACAAGATGTTTGAATGTTAGTGAGAGTGATCAAATAGAGAAAAAATAGGTAGAGTAGAAGAAGTAAAAGACTGGAACGGTGTCCTTCAATACATGAGTGAAATAAGATCTAGTGGCAAGCTAAGGGGTTGGTTTTGACTAGGAACACAGCTAGGAGGAAAAGTTGAGCAGATGGGCACAGATGCAGAAGAGGAGGTGGTGCTGGAGGCTGAATGGAGTTTGCTTTTGATTGCTGTTATTTTCTCAGTGAACTAGGAAGCAAAATAATCAGCTTGGAGTGAGGATGACAGAGGCATTTAGAGTTTTGAGAAGGGAGGAGTAGGCATGAAACAGTTTTCAGAGGAGTAGGAGAGTTAATGGACTACAGAAATATTGTCTGTTTGCTGGAGAGTATTAAGGACATAACTGAGGTCAATACAGAACTCTTTGGTCTTCCAAAGTCATCTGTGGCCAGTCCTTTTCAAACTGGTGTTCATAGAGCAGGTTATTCCTTGCAGCACCAACTGAGAGGAGAGGAAAGCTTGGAAGTGAGTAAAAGTCCTAAGATGCAAGTGTTGTAACATAACCACTTCTTCTAGAACACCTCCAATATTTCCTTGGGAAATACTGAGATTTCTTTCCCTAACTCCTTTCTTCCTTTCTTTTCTGGTCCCCTTCCTTATTTGTGCTAAGATATAGCTAGCTAGAGTAGTTGTGTATGGGTTTCAGGCAGCAGATCCACTTCCTGTACCTGATGGGTTTGTTTTACTGTTGTATTGGATAGCTTTATTCTGTGTTATACTCTGGTAACAAACAATCACAAGTTTTCGGTGGCTTACAACCATCTGGATTTATTTCTCTCTCTTGTTACATGTTGGCTGCAGGTCAGTTGCAGCTCTACATATCTTCATTCTGAAATTGAGTCCCTATTTAAGTCGTGCTATTCTTTGGGCAGAGGGAGAAGAGCAATTGTGGAGCCACACAATGGCTCTCAGTTTCCACTGGGAAGTGGTAATTGTCACTTTTGCTAACATTTCATTGGCCAAAGCAAGTCACGTGACCAACCTTGATGTCAATGGGATGGGAAAGTATAAACTTCTTTTAGGGAGGAGAACTCACAATTTGGAACGATATATAATTAGCTGCAACTTTTTCCATATGTGGCAGTAAAAAATCATCCTCAAGCAAGACAGTGGGGCAAATTACCTCTTCCCAACCATGATCAGCATTGAGCCCTCAGGAGTAACCCCAAGGTGACTTGACACTTGGTATGAATTTCTGGGTGCAATTTTATGTCTGACCCTGTGGGCTAGATTATTTAGCTTTAGAATTTAGAAACTATCTTACCTTCAGGGAGGCAGGTCATGTATTTAATCACATGAATTTTAGGTATTATATTATAATAATAAAAGCAGCTATGCCAAATTTTACAAAATACATCTTATAAGCTGGAAGAGAGATGTCCATCCAGATCTGTCTTTGGAGACTTTCTTAAGTTCGACATACTCAAGATCAATTTTATAATAATATAAATACAATAGAAGAAAGAGCTCTGTCTGCAACTCAGTAAAATAAAAATTCAGAGATGATAGGAAATTCCATATCTGTTCCTAGCCTAGCAGGAGGAGTTTTATAGCTTGAGAAGGAGCTGGGATATTTCTCTAAGACACTGTGTAACCAAGTCTCGGGCCCATGATTCACCACTTCCCATACCAAGTATGGTGCCCTGCAAAATGCCATGGGTTGTTCTGAGTGATTGTCTCGCTGTGGCCTGATAGACATGAGAAACTCAAGACCAGCATGAAAGTATCATGACTGACACAAATTTCAAGTTTGTTGGCTTAAGTATTTTCACGTTTCTTTTCTTAACACAGAAGAGACCAGGGTCTGTTGCTGTGTGTTCTGTAGTTTCATTTTAGTGAGACTTTTCCTCTTTGTTTATGAATATAGGATTCTGACAGCTGACAAATGACATTCCAAGAACTTAGCCGGAGCCCAGATTGTGCACTGCTGTGGGAATTTCTCCTCATAGATATGTCCAACAACTCTGCTCTGGAGAAAATGCTCAGGTAATGCATTCCCAGTGGTAGCTCAGTTCCCATCAACTCACCACCGGTGCCCTCATTAGGGTGTTTTTCTTTCTTCAGGTATTTGTTTTCAGTCCATCTTCACTTCCCACCACAGTGAATTTAGTGTCCGTGAAGGGGACTGGGTAGCTCTCCCCTGAGACTACCCTAGGTTTATTTTTAGCACAGGCAGTCTGGAAAAATTACCTTCCCTTGCTGACTGCACCAGGACTGTCTTAATTCTGACACAGAATTCTGAACCTCTCACATTGGATTGAGAATGAATGGGTAATCCATGCCTTCACTCCACTCTAATGGAGGAATCACATTACAATGGGGCTAAAAATTTGCCACAGGTTACCCAGACACCCAATCAAAAGAGCTTTTCTTTGGTCTGTTGGTCTCAGATTTGTAAGATGTTTAACAGTGTAAAAATTGCAAGTTGGTCTGACTAAATTGGACAGATTGCAGGTAAAGCCCTGCTCCCTAAATCCCAATTGATCCCCTGAGCCATCTGTACTCCCTAAAAGTGTTATTATTACTTTCAAGCTACATGCTCAAAAATTATTTCCCTTGGGAACACACACCTAACCCAGACAAAAAGATTACTACTTTTTTCCTACTCATTCAATACCCTTTGTCCCAGCTATCTTGTTTGTTTCTTTCTTCCTATGTCTCATTCAACATTATATTCACATGCTATGATCTCCCCAGTCCCCTGTCGACTATTAGGTTGAACCACATGAAATTGCCAATATTCTGCTGGTTTTGACCAATAAAGGTAGTGATTTCATGTAATTCAAGCAAACCCTATTAGAATGAGGTAGCAAATTGTGAAAATTCTCATGCAGAACAATGGAAGTTATTGACCAAGTCAACTACAGCTCCATAATATAGAATCGAGTTGGATGTGTATCCAAGCTCTAATACAATCTATTGTAAAATGTAGGCTAATTAGCGTATTAAATGAGAATTTAATATTTGGAATTTTAAAAGGGAATTTCAACTTCTGATAGGGAAAAGTGGATAACTGATGTGCACTCATGTATGTTAATATGTCAAGATTCTCTGTGTGCAATGGCTGTGACCACTACTCAGCATATGCAACTTGCTCAGATCTTTGAAAACCAACTCTTTACACAACTTTCTCTCCCCCACAATCCCCAACTTTCCCACTCTCTTTCTCTGTCTCTAGTCTCTCATGGTCAGACTTCTGAAAAGAGCAGTCTACACTTACTTGTGTACATTCTCTTCCTTATTCATCCTGTAGCTCACTGTAATCTGGTTTCTGTTCCCAACACTCCACTAAAACAGTTTCTGCCAAGGTCACTAATGAACTTTGATTGACAAATTCAATAGAAATGCTTCTGTCTTTATCTTTCTTAACTTCCTTGTTGCATTTGACAGATGTGCCAAGATTTGCTTCTTAGTATTTCATCTCTTTCTCTGTCTTGCATGATCTCCCTTTCTTTTGATTTACAGATATTTTCCCCAAACCAGATTTTCAGCCTTTTGAAGGCATAGGATTTGTGTCTTATTCAGCTGTGTATCCCAGGGCCTACTTTAGTATAGCCTCTGCAAGGTGCTTATCTATATTTGTTGAATGAATGAGAAACAATGAATTAGTGAAATGACAGCACTTTGTTAATTATTAGTCATTGCAAATATTTAATTTCTCTTTGGTTTAATCCCTATTTCTAGCAACTTCTCTACCTGACTCATGGCCATACATATTTTTAATAAAGTATAGCTGGCAGGATGCCACATTCTTCGTGTTTTCATATCAGAAATCCTACTTGATAGTTGGAGGCAAGGCAGGTAAAACTGAAATCCCTACTGGTTCCTTTTCACATGGCTTCCTCTAATTCTGAGCAGTTATAATATGCTGGGCCATCATTCATGAATTTTAGTAACTCCTAATTCCTAGGAAAAAAAGAACTCTGTCATTTTTTTCTTTTCCACCCCAAAATGTGTCACTTTGAGATCCAATAAAGTGTATCCAGCAAAAGGCCACTTGTTGCTTGCTTGACATATGACCTGAAAAACGGGGGATAAAACCTAAGACAAGACTCAAGGAGAACAAAAGAAACACGCCAATAGAAAATGTGATACACACACACACAGTTTATGCAAGTTTAATTTCTGTTGTTTTGGTTGGAAAACAGCTGCAGGTGTCCTCTAATTATAACCCCATTTTCACAAATATCAACTGTCGTATTTAATCTGCTATATTCACCATATAGCCTACTGTTGCAGCACATTTCTTTCATTACAAATTTACTAGCAGAGTTTCAAATGCTCAAACTAACATTCAGGCTAGTCAATTAATGCATTATTTACAAGTTAAATGTTATTAAAAACAGGTTCTTAATTTGCTAATGATTTACTAGACCCAAGGCAATATTCCAATGTTTTTTTTTATTGTTGTTGTGGTTGAAAATGGAAGAACATTTAGAACAGTTGGGATGGGAGGGATGTCAGGGTACTTTGGCCTTTCTCATCAATTTCTGAATTTCTTTTCTGCGTTCTTCCTTCTTGCGTGCCGTGTTTGATGCCTATATTAACCAGTTGCAGCATGGTTGAGAAGAAAGACTTATGAAGAACAAGACCAGCATAAATACTATTGTGAGGAGTGTTTAAAAAAATCACCAGGCAGTTTGGAATGACTAAATACACATGTTCCCCATACAATTCGGCATATTTTGATTTACAGTCCCATTCCAGCAGCACAACAGGTTAAGAAGGTTAGAAGTCAAGGAAATTAAATGTTATTGGCATTCCACCGTTGTCAGACTGCACACACTGAATATACATCTTTTCAAATACACTTTGAAAGAGTTTAGAGTTTTAAGGTTCTAGGGCCTCAGAATCATCCCAAAAATCTGGATTTTGTTCTTTGTTTTAGTTTTCTTCCTCTTTTTTGTTTAACCTAGATCATGTTCTAAATCCATACCTTTCATGTTCCATAATTCCATGGCACACTACTTATTTATGAAAGATAATATGGGGGGGTTGAGCTCTTTGATGAAAAATAATTCAAGTTCCATGAAGCCAGTTACCTCATCTTCATGCCTTTCTCTCCAGCTGTTTCCTTGGCCTAGAGGAATCCATTTGTTTCTCCCCGGTTTTCTCTTCAAATTTTTGAAAAACCTAACCTTCTTAATAAAATCTTGTTAAATTTAAGTGTTGCTCACAACAGTCATTCACTTCTCTGAATTCTATTTATTTAATTTTTTGTTTATTTATATTATTATATCATATAAATTTAGGGTATACAACATGACGTTTTGATATACATACATATAGTGAAATGATTACTACAGTCAAGCAAGTTAACATATTCACTATCTCACATAGTTACCTTTCATTTTTCACAGTACAAGTACCTAAAACCTACTATCTTAGCAAATTTCCAGTATACAATATAATATTATTGACCATGGTCCTCATGTTGCACATTGCCTTCTCTGAATTCTTGTAACTCTTCACAAGAAAGTGTCATGTAGTCACTCACTTATATTTATATTGCCCTGTATTTTCCTTACATGTAATTGTTTCTCTATAGGACAAGCTATAGAGTCGGAAAGATCTGCTATGAATTGACGGTGTCACCTAGGCCAAGCTATCTCTTTTCCCCAAGTCTCAACTTTTCTCATCTCTTAAATGGAAATAAAAACTTGTATTGACTAGTTGTAAGAACTGGTGAGAGCATGTGTATGAAGAACCTGGTTAAATGGTAGCAGCCTGATATATGGTAGGTCCTGTTGCCATAATGAAATACGATGATATATATAAGTTGCCAGGTACAGTGCCTGGCTCATGTTTGGCACTCAATAAAATTTAATTCCCTTTGATACAATGAATATGTCACAAGTATTTCTTGTTTTCATTTTCACTCAGAGTAAAGTTTTCTCAAGGGCAAGGACTAATTTTTTTTTCAAACTTTTCAGTTTGTGTGAATTAATGTTCCATCCTCTGTAATTTGGGAGGTATTCTGCACATCTCTCAGGAAATCCAGATGGAATTGAGTGCCTGTTGCCCACATAAGCAACCCAGCTAAGGCACTTTTTTGCTGGTTCTTCTTTGTTTCTCTTTTTACTCTGCCTGTTCTCTCCAATCCTGGGATCACCTTCTAAATAGACTCCTGGTATCCAAACCCTTGTCTCAAGCTCTACTACTGGAAGAATCCAAACTAAGTAAAGAAAAGATTCAAATGACAGAGAAAGACAGTAGTGTGCAAAATAGCAGAAGAACTTTCAGAGTTGTCCAAGGCAGCTAAGACAGGAAAATGTCAACGGAATAAGATAAGAATAGAATTCATTCATGCACTTATAAAAAAAGGTACTTGTTGAGCACCTAGTATGTACTGAACATTCCTAGGCCTTAGGGATATGGTAGTGATCAAAACTGGCAAGGCATTTATATTGTAGTGAGGGAACACACAATGAACAAGCAAATCAACATGCAAAATCATATCAGGTAGTGAGAAGAGCTTTGACAGTAAATGGCACAGTAAGAGACTGTTCAGGAAAGGTAACTATTTTTGACAGTGTGATCTATTTAGAGTGAATAAAGGCCTATCTGGGAGGGTGATATTGGAACAGAAACCTGATCAATGTGAGAATGACCCACCTTTTGTCCACTGCCTACCTTCTCCTGAAGTGCAAGCAGAAAAAATCATGTGTGCTAGCCTGGGTATGGATAATAAGACAGGATCAAAATGCTGCTAGTTAGAAAAATGGGATACACATATTTCTCAGTGTCCAATCTTCCAGGCTGAGTGCTGGGCTACTCCAAAATGGACCTTAGGACCGGACATCTGCCTACGGCTCATGGGTAAGGGCTTTCTTTAGGAATACCTGGGGGGATTTCATCATTTTATCCTTCGTTAAAAAAATCTTTTCTCCTGTCTTTCTTGGTCAGGGCATCTTTTTCGTCAATTTCTCAGATGAAAAGAATGCCTTTATTTGTCCAAGACTTTAGGGTATATACAGAGCATACTTTATCTCATTTGATTCCCACACAACTTTGTCCATTAAATATTTTTATTCTTTTTTATAGATGAGGAAACTGGGACTTGGGGGCTTTGCTTGAGAGAGCTGGGACAGAAACTGAGTCTTTTGGCTTCAAGTTCATGATTCATTTAAATGGTGAGTCCACTGGCCCCTTAACTAATCTTCATCCTTTCCCTGCCACCCCCATTGATGGCAACAGGATTTTATAAGCCGATGATCTTCACCTACAGGATCCCATTCCTCTGACGTTCCATCAGCGGGCACAGGATCAGATCTTAGTAAATCTAGAAGATTAGAACTGGAAAGTCTGAGGATAATTCTATCAAGAGATCCTGTGTATTTAATGTTCTAACTTAGTCCAAGTGCTGTACTTGATAGTATTTTCTCAGTGCCACATTAAGATAACAAGGGTTTTCTTAAATGTAATGTTTACCTTTAAGTATGTACTAAGGTGGCTGATTCTTAATGCTCCTCCTTTTGAGAAAACTTAAGGTAAAATTGAACATAATTGCTCCTGATCCATTTCACTCCACCCAGTGGGGCTTTTGTTTGTTTGTTTTTCTTCCAGGACATCCCACTTGATTCTGAATCTGTAAGACTCCTTCCCTCAGTGGTGGATCCTCACATCTGGGGGAAGTCACAGACAATTTCTTCTGTAGGGCGAGCTCTACTATACAGTTTATGATGCCAGGGTGAATACTTCCTTTGGGTTACAGTCAGAAACTGTAGATTTTAAAAAGTTTAAATTTCATTATTCTATCTCAGTATTCCAAAGTATATACAGAAAGCTATTGCACTGTTAAGGAGATGGCGCTTAACATTTTGGAAATTCAAGCTGATGAATGTCCATATAAGACTATCTCTCCTGGTATAAAGGGTGACAATGCTGAACATTTTAAAAGTTCTTTTTGATATATGAAGTGCACCAATGAGTACTTTTTAATTCTTACAATAATTCTGGGTGAGGTAGGTATTTTTCCAATTCCCATTTTATGCTTCAGTAGCCCTTTGTACTTCTTCTTCAAAACACTTTGCTCACTTGTAATTATTTAATAAATTAGTTGTAATTATTTGTTTAATGTGCAGGAGTTACAAAAGGCAAGCTTTAGAACAAGACAGACCTAGTTGTGATTCCTGGCTCCGAAAGCTGTACACCCTGTGACCCTAGACAGGTGTTTTAATGCCTCGGTGCCTCTGTTTCTTCCTCTGTAAAATGTGAACGATAACAGTATTGGCCTCATGCTTTTTTTTTGAGTTTTAAAATTAATAATATGAACAAAGATCAGTGCAGTGCCTGGCATGCTGAACACATTCCACGACTGTTAGATGTAGTTGTTATGATTTGTATTACTTCATTTTCACACTGGTATAAGGAACTACCTGAGACTGGGTAATTTATAAAGAAAAGAGGTTGAATTGACTCACAGTTCTGCCCGGCTGGGAGGCCTCAGTTAACTTACAATTATAGCAGAAGGGGAAGCAAGGCACTTCTTATATGGTGGCAGGAGAGAAAGACAGAGAGCGGAGGAGGAAGTGCCATACACTTCCAAACAACCATATCTTGTGATTAAATAAAAAGTACTCATTGGTGTGTCTTGTATATAAAAAAAGTATACCTACTATCACGAGAACAGTGAGGAGGGAATCCACCCCCAAGATTCAGTCACCTCCCACTAGACGCCTCCCCTGACAAGTGGGGATTACAATTCAAGATGAGATTTGGGTGGGGACACAGAGTCAAACCATATCATGATTGGTCTATAATAAAGAGATGGCCACATGTGTTTCATCAGGGACAGTGCTCATTAGCCAGTTGTCCTGACATAATTATTAATAGTATCCCCTTTGCTTTCAAGAGTATCGTAGTTTGCAAAAGGTATAGAAATGGAGGACAGATTAGTGGTTGCCCAAGACTGGAAAAGGGTAACGGTAAAGGGTGCAGAGGTGGATGTGGTTATAAAAGGCAACACGAGAGATCCTTGTAGTGAAGGAACTGTTTAGTATCTCCACTGTGGTGGTGGATACCTGAACCTAAACATGTGAAAAATTGCATAAAACTAAACACACACACAAACGAGTACAAGTTAAGTTGGGAAAGTCCAAATAAGATTTGTACATTGTATCAATAGGTATATCTTGATTATGATTTTGGACTATTGTTTTGCAAGATGGTACTGTTCAAGGAAACTGGGTAGGGGGTACATGAGATTTCTCTGCATTATTTTTTATAACTCCATGTGAATCTACAAGGATCTCAGGATTAAGAAAGATATCCTACTTTGGAAGATAAACAACATATTCCAGTAGTAATGCCCATTGTCCCACCAGGGCCTGACTACCTTCTATAAAAAGAAGTGCCGTTGTTCCCCTCAAGTTCATTTATTTGGTTTTATTCTTCTTCACATTACCTACCTCCACTTGGCAGATTACATTTATTTTTTCATCTTTCAACAGCTGTTTTACTGAATGCCTACTAGATGCCAGACTTGAGATCTAGCAATGAACAAGATCTCTGTGAAACTTACATTCCAGTAGGAGAAATAAATAATAAACCAAAAATATAATTGATAAATTATTTAATATGCTGGGAAGCAATATGTGTAATGGAAGAAAGATGTAGAATGATGAATTAGGGTTCTCCAGAGAAACAGAATCAACAGTTGACTCATATGATTATGGAGGCTGAGAAGTCTCAAGATCACAGTTGGCAAGTTGGAGATGTAGATGTGTTTCTGATTTGAGTCCAAAGACCTGAGAACCAGGAGAGATGATGGTGTGGTTACAGTTCAAAAGCCGGCAGGCTTGAGGCCCAAGAAGAGCCAGTGTTGCAGTTGAATTCCAAAGGCAGGAAAAGGCTGATATCTCAGCTGAAGCAATCAGGCAGAAGCAGCTCACTCTTACTCATGGGCAGGTCAGGCTTTTGGTTCTATTCAGGCCTTTAAGTGATTGGATGAGGATCATCTACTAGGGAAAGAAATAAGCTTTATTCAGTCTACTGATTCAAATGTTAGTCTCATCTAAAACCACGCTCACAGACGCACCCAGCACAATGTTTGACCAAGTATCTGGGCACCTTGTGGTTCAGTCACATTAACACACATTAACTATCTTAGCAAGATGAAAATAAATGAATGCAGCATGGTGGTCGAAATTTTAAAGAGTGGTCATATAGTCTCATTGGAAAGGAACATTTGAATGAAGACTTGAAGGGGTGGGAGAATAAGCCATTTATTTGCTTATTGCCTGTCTCCCTCCATCAGAATGAAAGCTTCATGAAGCCAGAGACTTAATTTTTATCTGTTATATCCCTAGTGCCTGGTGCAGGGTAGGTACTAAAAAATATTTGTTGGGTGAATGAGTAATGATTGAGGATGGGGACGGGTTTGTGTCTGGCTATATCTCTTGTCCTTAGCACAGTACCTAGCACATCCTAAGCCATCAAAAAGTGTTGGTTCTATGATTGTCTTTGAATTCTGTGATTGTTTATAATATACAGTAAACTTCACTGAGGACACTGACTCACTTGCTTTGTTTGATACTGTGGCCCCAGCCCTGCAGCACTTAGAATAGGGCCTAGAAAATACATAATAGTCCGTCAATAATTGTTATTGACCAAAAGGGGAAAAAGATAAGGAGACTGAGGCTGGGAAATGTTAAATGAGTTGAAAATAGTGTCACAGCCAGGAAGCAACACAGCATGGGGCTTAACTTTGTCTTTTTAATTATCAAATTGCAATGTTTCATCTATATCAAACTGCTTTAAAACTTGTCCTGGAGTCTCTCGTTTAACCATGGCCTTTTTTCACTTACACCACCCCTCTTCCTTGTCCACTCCAGGCTGTGTTGTGTGGCCATGTCTCCCTGAGTGACAAGCAGGCTGGTTATGTGGAGTTGTCAGCACACAGGCCTCCCTGAAGACGGCCTTCTCCTCCAGGTGCCACGGTGTCAGGAGACACTCTCTCACATTAGCACAAGCAGAAGGTAATGCAACCTCTTGGTGACCATCGACTTTGTCAGACAATAGTGCCGTTCAGTTTGAAAGACTCCACCGGGAAGTTGCAGACTTTTAAAACTAATTTGGTGTTTATTCAACTTTGCAATCACTTCTATGTACTATCTGTGTTTCACACACCGTGAAACGGCGCTACACTGTGCAATTGAATTAGTTGTACAGTGACTCAAAGGCATTAAACAATGACTTTGATATTTTAAGTACTGACTAGGAGGGATTTTTAATTCCTTCCTCATAATGAAAGCAGCAAAAAAAAAACCCAGTTACACAACCCTGGAACACTTATTCTCTTTTCTATTCTGGGTGGACCCCACTGAGACAGAAAAAAACCTCCGAGCATTTAGTTTGCTTAATGGCAGAAGAAAAATTAAACAAGCATAGACGTGCAACCTTAATGACACCCAGCAACACTAGAATAACAGTTCCCAGCTTCTAAAACCTGTTATTTAATATAATGGCTAAATCTTGTGGGAGCTTTTCAGGTGCTGCTGAGTCTGAAAAAACAGCTACTTTGTGAGGAGGGGTGGGGGCAGAGGCAGGGAGAGTGTCTTGCTTGTGCTCACTTGCTTAGGAGGGTCTCAGCGCAGAAGCCAAGCCAGAGGGGTGCAGGCGAAATATAGCACTGTCAGGAGAGTCCCTGAAGGCTGTGTCCCTTCTGTGGACAACAGCATCGCTATGCTAGGCACAAATGTGTGAGTTCTGCCGGAAACAATATGGAACTTTTCATACAGTGCCTTTCTGGAGATGGTACTGACAGAAAGGAAGAAGGCGGCGGGGGGGTGGGGGGTGAAAAACAACACAACAAAAAACGAAACCCATAGCAAGTGAATTAGTACCCTGAAACTATGAGCATTAACTGGTAATAGTTCAGGGCAAAGCACCTAAGTGATGATTCACATCTGACAATAAATACATGAATAGCTGTTGAAAGCTTGTTTGATTTTCACAAAGAGGTTTAAACAAACATTTGTTTGTTCATTAGTCTTAAGCAACACTTTTATGGCAGGGGATGCATTAAACCTAACATATGTCTGCGACCAAGATACTTGGTAGTTTTAAAGATGAAGACACAAAGCCGTGCATATAGTTTATGGGGAGCGGCCTTGAACTACCTGTAATGGAGTGAGATACAGTTATTATGTATTAATGCTGTGAATCTTCATCCAGAGAGAGAAAACAAACAGGCGAGAAGGAACGCAGCATCTTTGAAGATAAAGACTTAGAGGGCCCCATTCTGCAATTGGTATTGAGTTTGCATAAACTCATTTTGTTGTTGTTGTTGTTGCATAATTTTTAAAAACGCAACTGGTTTAAATCTGTTCCCTGAGGTAATTTATGCTAAAGCAGCATTCTAACACCATAAATTCCCTGCTTATGGCAATCTCTGCTTGGGTGTCAGGTCGGTGTAGGTTACTGAGCAAATGGCCGCTTCAAAATTTTTAGGGTAATTGCCTCTATAATTCGTTTAGCATAGGCCCTGTCAGGAGATCTCTAATTGTAATTGACGCCTCTGCTTCCCTTTCTCCTCCTTCTTTTTAACCACATTGTTGTACTAAAAGCTTCACTCTCCAGTGCAGAATAGCATGGGGCTTTTCATCTTCTGTAGCACTTGGATTTTGTCCTTATTAAAGCCTTCCCTCATGGAAACGTGATGTCACCCCCGACGGGGTCCAGAAGGTGGTGGTTGGTTGGGTGTCCCTCTGCCCCAGCCCAATCTCTATCCTTGCCTAGGAAACCTGCAGTCCAGAGAAGGCAGATCTTGATGGGGTTGGGATAAAATGAAGAGCAAATTACCGCTACTCCAATTCTCCTAAGTTCTGTATGAATGCTGGGTTGACTGTTGATTTCTACCAGAATGGTGTGAGCAAGGTCAACAGCGTACTTCTCTCTCTTCTCTCAGCTCATGTGTATGGGCACGATGCCTTGGCGGGAAGGGTATCATTGGGATTGTATATTACAATATTCATGGCCAGGAGCTTCTGTTGATTTGTGTCTACATATGGGGATTTTTCATCAAATTGCATAAAGTATGTTAAATAATCAACTCCAAAATCCAATTCATTAATTATCTTGCTTAAAATATACTTCAAATATATCACATTTGACATCATATGTCATTGATAGTAGAAGGAAATGATAACACTTAAAATCAATAAGTGTTTTTAATTTATTTTACTTATTATGGTTGTCATAATATTTTGACATGGAGGGCTGACATGTCAACCACGCTGTTATCAGGAGGTAAGGCAATGGCATTAAACTGTCTCACCGTCCGTGCTACTGTTTCAGCATAAAGTGGGCCCAGGGGGAAAATATAGCTAAAATCTCCAAGGAAGTATCTGCTTATGAAGTCAATACAGGTCATCACTGAATAAAGCAGCCTGAACTCAAAATAAAAGCTGAGGGAAAGAAGTCTACACTCTAATCTGTTATCTTTTCTCCCAAAGGATTCACCAATAATGAGAGCACTAAAAATGTGCGAGTGCTGTCTGTGTGCCAGACTTGTGCAAAGTGTTCCACATATTTTATCTCGTCTCCTCTATGAGGTGAGGTACTTTTACATGGTAAAACCCAGGTTTGAATGAGAGTCTGTGTGATTCCATGCCTGGCTCTATTCTCGGACACCAGAGCCATCACTATTCTGTATGGTTTGGAACGAAAATGGATTCTGACTTCTGGATCCTCCCGACTTTCCGCCCAGAATCCTGCCTTAGTCCTAAGTCCTGGCCACCTCCTACTGCTGGATGGTGATGGAGGAGGACTTGCATGTGGACAGTGGGTTGTTACAGCATGCTTTTGTCCGTCTGGGGAGGGTAGGCTTGAAGGCAACTAACGCTCTTCTCTTTGTCTCTAAGCATTAGAGATTAAAGGCAGATTCAAAAGAAATTGTAAGAAAGGAGGACTTAAGAGCATGTGTTTTTCTGCTATTTAGGACACAGGCAAAGCCAAATTTTTTTTTAAAGGCTAAATGTAGGTTTGACCCTGCTTGAAGTAAGCACCAAAGCAATGAGTAATAGAAAAGACTTGGAATCTGACAGCAGCAGCATTCTCTATGCCCAGCTAATTAAAGGCCAGTAAAGAGCTCCTGGTGGGCAGGGCTGATGTCTTCTATACTGTAGTCCCTGTTTTGTACAGAATGGGTGCCCAACCAGGATTTGTTGAATGTAGTTTTTCATCCATAGCCAGGAATCAGCAGCTTGTTCTTATCTTAACTCCTCTTTTCTTGGCTATTGGTTTGCTTATAAAATGTTTTTGCTTTCCTGAAGACTTAAGAATTAGTCTTGAGGACTAAAAGGTAGTCATTTGTTAACATAATATTTATCTAATGTTCTTTTTATGAACAAGCCTCTGTGTTAGGGATAAAGCAGCAGTGAGGCCGGGTACAGTGGCTCATGCCTGTAATCCCAGCAGTTTGGGAGGCCAAGGCGGGCAGATCACTTGAGGTCGGGAGTTCAAGACCAGCCTGGCCAACATGGTGAAACCCTGTCTCCACTAAAAATACAAAAATTGTTGGACATGGTGGTGGGCACCTGTAATCCCAGCTACTCGGAGGTTGAGGCAGAAGAATTGTTCAAACCTAGGAGGTGGAGGGTGCAGTGAACGAAGATCATGTTACTGCACTCCAGCCTGGGCAACAAGAGAGAAACTCCGTCTCAAAAAAAAAAAAAAGCCACAGTGAACAAGATGGTAAAGCATGGAAGACAGACATAAGTCAACTGATCAGACAGTTATCTGATTACCATGGTGATAAATCTTATGCAAAAGTTCAGATTGTTATGGGTGTTTAGGGGAACTTGATCTAAATTAAGTGATCTGTGAAGGCCTTCTTGGAGAAATGATGTTTGAGCTGAACTATTTATTAAGGATGAACAAGAATTAATCAAGGCAAGTGGAGTAGGGAAATGGCAGGAGGGAGGGTGGCAAACAAACAATGCAAGAAGAGAGAGTGCATTGGTGAGAATGCTTCATCAGAAGGAGCTTAGTAATGTTCTAAAATAGAAATCAGATTAGTGTGGCTGAAATGCAAGGTGGAGAACCATGCAGCAGGATGAGACTTAAAAAAAAACCAGTTAAGACTTTTTGGTTGCAAACATAAAGGAATTTATTGGCTCAATAAACAGAACGCTTCAGAGGTAGCTTGGCTCTACTCATAACTTTAGCAAAAGCTCTTTATTGCTCTCTAGTTTTCTTGGCCCTATCTCCCCCACATACTGACTTGTGTCTTCTAAGGTAGCTAAGTAACTGCAGCAGCTCCAGCTTTCATACCTGCCTTCCATACTAACCAGAAGAGAAAGAAACTTGTTACGGTATTCCTGGTACGAGGCCTGAGAGTCACCCTGATTGGAGCAGTGGAGGTCGCATGCCCTGTCTTGAACCATGCACTGTGTTGAGGAGGCAGGAATGGCCTGCTTAGCCTGGCCTGGGCCAGATGGTCTATCTCAGGAGCCTCGGGAAGAGTCAGCATCCCTGGAATCACAGAGATTACAAAACAGAAATCAGGGCTGCTAGGAAGTGCAGAATGGATGATGAGGAGGCCACAGTGATCACTGCAAGGTTGAAAAGGTGAAGACAGGCCTGTGCTATAGGATTTGGAACTTCTTAAAATGACAGGAAGTCATTACAGGATTTTCAGTAGGTCAGTAATGTCTTTGGATTGGTTATTCAAAAACATCATTGTGAACTCTACCTTAATGTGTCGGTAGTTTCTTTTCTTTTTTTTTTTTCTTTGAGACGGAGTCTCACTCTGTCACCCAGACTGGAGTGCAATGGCAAGTTCTCAGCTCACTGCAACCTCTGCCTCCCTGGTTCAAGTGATTCTCCGGCCTCAGCCTCCCGAGTAGCTGGGATTGCAGGTGCCTGCCACCGTGCACGGCTAATTTTTGTAATTTTTAGTAGAGATGGGGTTTCACCATGTTGGCCAGGCTGGTCTCAAACTCCTGACTTCAGGTAATCTACCTGCCTTGGCTTC